TTTCTTTCTTTCTTTCTACAACGTCCTAAAACGATGAATGAATTTGATATACTGCTTGCACTTTCAGTAACAATGCAGATTTTAGAGGCAGGTCCTTTTTTATTTTGTGTTGTCGAGTTATCCAAAGTTATCCAAAACATAGGAATTTTGCCGGTCATAGTGGCTTCCATCTTTAATGATCAGTCATTAGACCGATGCAGGTATTCATCTCCATAATTTGCGTGGAAGATTGGTTGCCAGGTTTTCTGATATTCTGCAAGTCAGGAGCAAAATAAAGCAATGATTATCTAAGCATTTATTTGCTAATAATGATTATAAAATGAACATGATTGCAGCGACTGGGCAAGTCCCTTGACTTAAGTCAAGTAAATTTGCAGGTCAGGAAGGGCAGGTCAAAGTCAGTTCAAGTCTTTTGTTAATTTTGATCAAGCAAGTCATAAGTCACAAATCTGATGACTTGAGTCAGACTCGAATAAAGTCAAAATAGTGTCTCTGAGCTAAAATGGGGTTCCCATAGAGATAGGGCTTATTTGTGCTGTGGCTGTAGTTTGTGTGATGTGTTTCAGTCCAGATCCACTTAGTGAAAGAGGAAAGAGGTTCATTCACTCCACAATCTGTAAAATCTGGAAAAGATTATCATCCAGACAACCTATGGGAAACACACGTGAGAATACTCACCCAGCAACAGAATAAATCTGAGTGTTATACGTTTTCATTCATTGCCTAAATCAACAAAACAAACTTCCCAATATGCAAAAGGGATGTCCAAAGGGGATGCATTATGTTTCTTGGGGATAGCCCTCTTCCCCTACTTTCTCCCCTCTGTCATGATGAACGAAGCTATTGGACTGATTGGAATGGTTTGCATTTGTCAACGCCACATGCCTGTTCCCACATTCTATGAATGGCATTGGACACAAAGGACTTCAAACCAGGGAACAAACCAGGGAACACCACACTAACAGAAGGGGGATGGCTCCTGCGTGGAGGAAACAATATTTACCAATCACTGCCCTCCAACTGGTCAGGTACCAGACTGCACACCAGTCTTTGTTGGGATCTGTACCAAGGGGGAAAAAAATTACCACAGTGCTGATGGATACTCTGCCCTGCTTCTTTTGCTTTCTTCTTTCCAGATTTAACTCAGTGCTTGCCTACTCTGATGTGGTCTTTAGGATCTTGTAGAATAAGTAGTACGACGTGCAGTTATGTCTGTTCACCATTGCAACGCCAGAGAGAGGGAAAAGGCCAAGTTTTACTCAATCTATTAGGACACTGTGAATGAAGTTGGCATGTACAGAGCATGGAGAGCAGGAGATGTCTGTGCATTGTACCAGAAGTTCCATACCTACATCTTCAACACATCACATACAGCTGAAGAACAGGTTCAATAATCATGAGAAACTGATGTTTGTTGCTCTCCTGGACAGAATCTGCCTCAGGAAATGCCTGTTCTTAAATTTGTGACCCTCTTACCAATTTAGGAGGTGGGGAAATGTGGGCAAATTAATGAGCAGGGCCAATTTGATGCAGAATTTTCTGCATCCTGAGAATTGAGTGATTCCATATTTTTTCCCTCTGTTTGGTCTAAAAAAAATCTGTTATTAACTACCATTTTTTTCTTTTAGCCTTTCTTTAAGGCAGATAGTTGCCATTTAAACTAACTTCAGTTCT